CATACCAGTTTAGAACATGGCTACCTACTGAGGCTTCTCGCAGCATTTCTCTGGTTTTCATAATGGTTGAGCCATTTAGGATGATACTGCAGCCAATCTGCTGCTTACATGTTTATTTTGGAAGCACGTTAGAAACTTCTAGTTCTTGGCAAGTGGTTTGGAAGGAGCCTGTTAAACCGAAACAGGTGGTGTTTCTGCTTTTCTCCCCCTCTGCTAAAACCATTTTTTCCTTCATTTCATCCCGTGCAAACATAAGAAGTCACAGCAGAGACACAGCTGGGATGGAGCCTCAGAAGACACCTCTCAGCTGCGTGGAAGCAAGGGCCCAGTGGCTTCCTTAGTTTGTTCAGTCTTAAAAAAGAGCTGTAATGGAAATACATCTGTAGGATTGCAGTTAAGAACGGTATGGCTTAGCTGTCGCCTGTGTAAGCTGGGGCAGTAGGTCTGCACCTGGGCTGTGGTGGGTTCCCGTGCTGGGACTGACCTTCCGTCTCTCTTGGACTTCGCCGCCAAGAGCTGAATGCACAGGCTGGAGATCTGAAGCAGCAGCAGGCGTTCCCTGGCCTGAAAAAAGGCTCCTTTTGAGAGACATCCAACTTAAAAAAAAAAAAAAGATATATATTTTTAGATGTCTGCTTTTTATAGCTTAAAACAAGCATGTTTTTCTTCTGTTTGAGGAGTATGTAGGTTTAATTAAGCATCACATTGTAAATCCATGTAGGTGAGTCAGTCACTTGCAGCTGAATGTCCATTTAACATCGCCACAAAGTTCAGACAGACATCTAACTTACTGCACGCATGCTAAAGGCTGGCACACGAATGCAAACAAAAAAGCCTCAGTTAAAAAAAAAAAATCAACCTAAAAACCCTACAGTGATGATTACTTGTTGACCAGGTGAAAATACAAAAACCTCCACTTTGAATTTTTTGAGATGCCAGGCAGCACCCAACACAATTCATTGATGAAAACAAGTGCAATGACAGTCTCCGATAAAAGTGTAAGTGATTTGAATAAGACTACTGCAGTTTAAATAAATATTTCTCGTTATTCTAGTCACATTGCAGAAAAAAGGTATTGGTACTTTTTAAGGAAAGATAATTAAATTCTCCAGGGCAAAAGTTAAGCAGTTGGATTCCTTACACCTTCTGTTTAGTTTCTTGCATTTTTAGATGAACGTGCTTATTTTGTTCTCCTGTATAAAAGTAAAAATTGCATCTTGTTGAATCACAGGTTTAAGACATAAGCTTTCCCTAGGTAAAGCACCAATGGCACTTGGCCATCACCTTGTGTGCTGCTGGCTCTGCACCGCCGGTGGCTCGACAGCCTGGAGCAAGTCCCTTCCTCTGGAGATCACCAAGGGCGGGACATTAAAAAAAGAGGGTCCCATTTTTCTCGTTCATTGCTAAAGATTAGGCACAAGGAGTTAATATGACTCTTAGATGGATATTTCTCTCTGATGGTATATAACTGACTTTTTTCCTGTCAAAGATCAATACATGGAGCAGGGTGTTCAGAAACCTTCCAAGAAGCCTAACATGGAGCAGAGGACTTTCACACGAGGGGGAAGGTTCCCGTGATGTAACTCAGCTGCTCTCCTTTTCTGCTCATGAATGTTTTGAGGATACTTTTGCCTTGCTTTCTGAAATGTACGTATGGTTTAGTTGGACCAAAGCGTGGCTTTGAAGCCTGAGAAAATCCTTTAAAAGGCAGCTGGTGCTTTAAGTTGAATTTTTAATGCTGAGGTAGTGTGTAGGAGGGGTGCTGCTATGCAACTTTGGAAAGAGAAAGGGGAGGAGGGAAGAGAGGGGAGGAGGGCCAGCAGAAGACACCCATGCATAAGTTATGTTTGTTCTTTTTCTTTATTAATGCTGTCAAATTCCCGGGAATAGTTGTTAGCATTTCTAGCCAAGCACAATTAATATGAAGATTTTTTTTTTTAACTTTCTGCCAATTTGAAGCTCTCAGCATATATGTTGGCAAATCGACTTTGTATCCTGCGGGAAAAGAAGTCAATGCGTTCTTAGAAAGCAAGGCATTTTCGTCTTGCAAAGCTTTTGCTTTCTTGACCGAGGTGGCCACGGAGGTGGCACGCCTTGTGAAAGCGTTTGGTGTTGAAGCGGCGGGAGAATGGTCTCACCAAAACCATCTAGAGACAGCAGTGACAAGGCACTGCTCTTAAAAGCCATAATTAAAAAAAATTAAAACCTAAGACTTATATCCAAACAGTCCTGCCAGGGAAGACCTGGTGTAAGGGAGGAATGTGTATGTGATGGCAGGGGGAACGTATCCGTGCATTGGGATGGCTACTAAGCCTTGCTACGGTATGCAGCAGGTTTCTGCAGCCCTCCCAGCTACCCAGATAGGCAAAGCAGCTGCTGTAATTCGTGTCTTCTTGAAGAGGCTGATGGACCTTTACTTGCTCCTTACCTTAAATACGGAGCTCGTGGCCTGACGGTTCCCTTGAGGCTGCGGGCAAAGCCCTGAGCAGCCCATGCACCAGCCTCGGTAGTGCTGCACCTCGCCGATGCTGGCGCGCCGCTTCCCGCCCGGTCTGGGGGAGAACGGTGGTGGTCTGGGGCCTTTCTGGAGCCGGAGGGAATTGCGGTGCCTATCTGCCAGCGTCAGGCTGGGGCGGTCGGAGGCAGAGCCGGGAGCCCAGCGGCTGGGGGCTGCTGGCTTGCAGAGCAGCGAGGAGACAAAGTCTTTCGGTTTTATGATGATATTACATCCAAATCATTTCCAGACTCCCGAGAATGTGAAACAAGATGATGTGAAAAACATAAGGTTACTGTAGTTTTGAGTGCTTTCTATGCTCTTCTGGATAAATGGAGCAGAAAAGTCTACCAACTTCTCGAGATTTCAAAGGCGATATTATATTCTGTAGTTATTATATTGTTGTAGCTCTAACAATCCACAGTAAAACCGAGCCATATTCTGCTGAGTGCTGTACATGTGCAGAATAACGGATTATCCGTGGTGTCGAGAGCTTGGTTTGAGGTCCGTGGCATTAGATATTCGTGTAAAAAAGTTTATGCACAGGTTCTCATGCCTTTTTTAGCAAAGAGATTATTAAAAAGCAAAATAACATAAAGTAGATACCAGTCTTATGAAGCAAATCAATACTACTTCCCACACATGCACACAAAAAAGAAAAATCAAAAGCATTAATTTGGTAAATAAATGGAAAGAGAGAAATAAATTGCACTTAATTTCTAACAAAGTGGATCCAAAGCTGATTCTTCATTTTTGTTTTGCCTCTGCTCCAAGCCATCAACTCATATTCTTGTGCGACTGGAGTATCTTAATTGTCCGCCTCTGTGTCCCTCTTCTTCTCTGCCACGTTCTAATCAGTAATTATGTGGCCTTCAGTGGTTAACAATTAATCAGAAAATGAATTGGGGCTGGGGGAGATGGCAGGGCCGTTTGATCATGCACCAGGCGAGTGAGGGCTTCGCTTCTGAGAGCAACCCTGAGCCAGCTCCCGCTGCACATCGTTTATCTGTCCGGAGGCAGAGCCGGGCTGCTGCCTGCTTACACCGACGTCCCGTCACGTTCGGCTCCACGAGCTGGTGCGGGTCGGGCGTGCAAAGGCATTCGGTCTTTTTGCAAAGGTGCCTTGTGGCGAAAGCAGACCTGGTGTCTTTTAGGCCATTACGGGTATATCGCACGTTTCGTTTTCTTCAGCTTTCTGCCAGGAGGGCACTAACAAAACATTTTCACTCACTTGCAGCACACTCGAGCGTACTGGGGAGTTTGGGTTGGTTTGCTCTTTCCCCGTACCGGGGCGGCAGAATTGCTCTGGTTTTCTCTTTTTTCTGTTTTCTTAGGTTCTCGTGTAGTTTGGTATTTCTGCAATTCTCTCCCCTTTCTCCTGCTTTGTGACACATCCAGCCCCTCCCCAGAAGACGACGCTGTTGAGTTTTAGCAGCACGCTGGTGAGGAGCTCCTTGTTCTGGGGTCTGGCTGTATTTCCAGCTGGCGGGGGGGAAAGCTGCAGTAATCAGGAAACGGTAGGATGGCTCATCAGTGGTGGTTAAGATTCTGGATACGAGAAGACTGCTGGCAGGGCTTGCTGTTTTGGCAGTCACCCTTGATGTTGTCTCCTTATCGATCTTCCCATCATTTCTCTCGGGTGCATTGCTGATGGGCTCTGTTTGGTTAGCGGTGCCCTGAAACCGGTCTCTGCCATTTTGAGAGACACCCACCGCGATCTCGTAAAGCACCAGGAGAACACCAGCGCTGCTTTGCCTAACTGAAAGCGTCCGGGTTGGGAAACACGGCTGGCTGTTTGCAAATCCAGCGTTCGCATTTTCATTGCTCTCATACACACGTTGCTCTTCCAGAGGAGAAGAAGAAAAAAGTAGTAAGGGAAGAAGTCCGTTTTTGTTTGCAGGTGCTTTCTGTTTGCTTGCTTTGCTCTTCAGGATCCTGCGAGCACGAGCTGCCATTGAAAATCAAATGAATTCTCAATTGCTTCCTTCCAATTCAATAAGTGGAGGAAAGCAGAAACCTGCCACCGTCGCTGGAAGGAAACGGGGCAGAGGAAGGCGCGGGTTCGGCAGAAAGCTGTTTCTTTTCCTTCTTTCCCTGGGGAAGGTCCCCGGGGAGACAGGACTGCACCCCTGGGGGACGTGGAGGAGGAGCCTCACCTCCGTCCGCCCTGGAGGCGCAAGGATGCCGCGTCTACCACGGACTTGGGTGGCTTTCTTGCTTCCTGACGTTTCCCACTTATGCTCGGCATTTTCCTCTCACCAAGTTTTTATGAATTTTTTTACAGGTGTAAGCAACCTTGTGTCATCGTTGTATTTCTGGAGGTGACGAGGATGCATTTTTGTTATTGCTGTTATGAATCTTTTCACCTTTATCAGAGAAGAAAAAAGATGGAGTCTGACTCCAGACTGAATGCTTTTGAGATGATATATTTTTCTGCTAATGTAGGGAGTATGAATATTCATTTTGATAATTTTTATCATTATAATTTTACAATTCTCTCTCGCAGCAGGGCAGAGTCCTCGGCCACTTGCGAGGTGTGCGAAGGTGCGGAGGAGATGACGGAGCCGCTGAAGCAGTGCACGGCCTGGCTGCACGCCTACTTCTGCGAGCCAGCGAGGACGGCCAGCCTTCCCATACCGGCCTTCCACCACCCGCTGCTCCGGCGAGGTCTGTGCCGCGGTGCCGTGGGCGTCCGTCCCCTCCCTGCTCCCATCGGCCAGGGTGGTGCTGGCTCCCATCTCCCTAATTCTTGGTTAATGGCAATAGAAATGATGCGG